CGAGAACCTTTTACAAACTAGTGTTTTCCCAAATCTTACGCGGTCCGCAAGCCTAGACAAACAGAGGACTACCGTCCAGCTCATAGCTGCCGTTGCACGACATTCACCACATCACATATCCCTTGTCTTGGACAAAATCGTACCCGGAATCTTAGAGGCCATACAGAAAGATGACGAGGAGCTACGCGAGGGCTCTCTTCAGGCACTAGAAGCTTTGGCATTGCGACTGCCCACAGAAGTTACGCCCTATCTTGGGGCAATTGTGCAAGTTGGCCTTCAGTTCATCAAATATGACCCCGTGAGTCAACGTTGTTTCTAATCGCGTTCCTTGCTCAACATACCTGTTTCAGAACTATGCTGGAGATGATAGCGAGGACGAAGATATGGCGGATGCAGATGAGGAAGACGATGACGATGACGACCTAGCTGATGAGTATGTCAAAAGTTTTGTATGTTTCACTGTAGCTCTGAGCTACTTCCAGGTATTCTGATGACGAGGACACTTCCTATAAAATCCGTCGTTCTGCCACAAAGCTCCTCGCTGGTGTCGTTGGCACTCGCCCCGAACTTTTGATCTCAATTTACAAAGAAGTATCTCCCGCCCTGATCTCAAGATTCGGAGACAGAGAAGAAAATGTTCGTTTGGAGGTCTGGCACACTTATGTCGTCCTCTTGAACCAGACTGCGATTTTCGGCGGAGTCCCTTCTAAGGATGATTCAACACCCCGGGGAAAGAGAAAGCGAGATGCCGACGAAATATTGGACTCGGAGGAGACTCCTTATAGTTTGTTGAAGAATCAAGTACCTGCGTTATCGAAAGCCCTCCTCAACCAACTTAAATCTCCCAAGACACCACCAGCCGTCCTTCAGGCCGGATTCGGAGTCCTTAATTCCCTCCTTACCGTTCTGCCTGGGTCGCTGTCGACACAAATATCACCAGTGACTGCAATTTCGAAATCAATCTTATCCCAAGCTCCGTCGACGTCGACATCAACCTTGCATTTGACTACTTTGTCCTTCCTCTCCCTCTTTTTTTCGACCCATGCTCCTCCGACCTTCTCCAGTTCCCTCCCACAGCTCATTCCTGCCTTACTCAAGTCGTTGAGTGAGAGACACCCCCGCATCGCGTCTGAGACTTTCCGCGTTTTCTCATCCCTCCTGAATGCGCTCAAGCCTATCAAGTCGGCTGAATGGGTTGATCAACTCTACGACCAGGCTGTTCGGCGCTTAGCGAGCCACGATACGGACGCCGAAGTACGAACATCCGGCGAAGAATGTATTGCTGACCTCTGGGTCTGTGCAACCGATATTGTTCGCAACAAGGATAAAAAGGAATGGGAGTATATTTGTAGATCATTGGGCAAGACGGACAGTGCCGTCAAGGTTGTGAGGAAGGTTGCCAAGGAAGTTCAGGTTGGCGACGAGTGGGTCAACGGAATCATTGAGTGGTTGGTGAATTTACTGAAGAAGAGTGGGAGGCTTGGGAAGGCTGAGGTCTTTTTGGCGTTGGACGTTCTCCTTAGAAGGTGAGTTCACGAATGTACATTCGCCTCCCGTGGGCTGACACTAAATTGATTCCAAGCTACAAGTCAGGGGTCCCCTCGAACCTTGCACCTCACCTTATTCCTCAAGTCAAAGGTTACCTCTCGACGGCGGACTTCGCTCTTCTCTCTCAATCTCTCAGCATCGTAGCTCTTCTGCTCGAGCTATCCCCCACCACTACTTTCCCGGAAGTTGAACGCGACTTACTTCCCGACCTCTACATCATTGCCTACTCGCCCCTTATTTCCGGAGCAGCCCTCGAGGCCCTCTTCAAATTCTTTGGGGCATTGGTTCAGGCTGACAACCAGATTTCAACACACATCATTCTGAACCTCGTCAACGTTGTGGAGAAAGCGCCTAAGGCTGAGGCTAGCCCAGCCAATGTTGCTAGGTGTATTGCCGCGGTTATCAAGAGCCAACAAAACGTTGCCGCTGGGGTAATTGCTGAATATTCGAAGAACTTTAAGGTTGGTTTCTTGTATTTCTGCCGTTCAAGGGTCTGAATTGAGCTCGATTTCGGTCACAGAATGCATCGAAGGTCAAGCCTTCTTTGCTTATTTTGAGTTCGTTGATCATTGGGGAACTTGGTCGTTTTATGTGGGTCGTCGCTCTTCGCTTGTCACCCGGTAGTTGACGGAATGCTACCAGTGATATGTCGCCTCAGAGCGACATCTTCGCCAACGTTATCGAGCTTTTCTCCGCTGAGCAAGAAGAGATTAGGGCGGCAGCCGCATTTGCTGCAGGTATGTTAACCTCGTGTTTTTGACTAAGCGCGTGTCCTTAAATGCCTTCAGGAAACATTGCAATTGGTAACCTTCACCAATTCCTCCCGGTTATCATTAGGCTCGTGGAAAGCGACACTAAGAAGCGCTTGTTAGCTCTTCACGCTTCTAAGGAGGTATGGACATATCTTTAGCAATGTTCAGCGCAGATATTAATATGTCTTCTTCAGGTTGTCACTCATTGCTCACAAGGACAACTGGAAGGCGTCGCGGATATGCTTTGGGCGCCGCTCTTCAAGAACTCAGAGAATGCAGAAGAGACCACCCGAAACGTTGCAGCTGCTTGTCTCGGGAAACTCGCAACCACCCATCCCTCAAGATACCTCCCTCAGCTCCACGTAGGTCCATGAGAGTGAGAAATCATGCCATCCACTAAAGCGCCTTTTAGGCACGCATCCACGATGATAACGCCTCTACTCGTGCTACTGTTATCTCCGCTATCAGATACACCTTCGCGGATACCTCGCAGTCTTACGATGACCTACTCGCTCCTCTTATCGTTGATTTCCTGGCCCTTACTCAGGATGATGACCTCGTGAGTTGCGCAATAGTAGTCGTCATATTTTCACTGGTTAATTCATTACTTAGACTGTCCGCCGCTTGGCTCTTTCGGCCATGAACTCTGCGGCCCGCACGAAACCCCATCTCATCCGAGAGCACCTCCCCGCCCTGTTGCCTGGCTTGTATAAGGAGACGCACGTCAATCCTGCCCTCGTTCGTACCGTACAGATGGGCCCTTGGACGCACAAGGTGGATGACGGTCTTGAGACGAGGAAGACTGCATATGAAACTATGTACACTCTCGTGAGTAATAAGCACCTGACGGCTCGGCATTTTTTGACAAGAATTACTTCCAGCTTGACACATGCTTGACCAAATTGGACCTTCATGTGTTCTTGAGTCGTGTCATTCCTGGTCTTTCGGATGACTCGGACGAGATCAAGGTTATCTGCCACATGATGCTGTTCCGCCTTTCCCAGGTTGCTCCTTCGTCTGCTGCGCAACACCTAGATGAGGCTCTCCCTCAGCTGGAGAAGACCATGAAGGGCGCAAATATCACGAAGGACACTGTTAAACAGGATCTTGAGAGGGCAGCTGAGTTGCAGAGGAGTGCACTGAGGGCGATTGCTGCGTTATCCAAGATTGGGTCTGGGACCTCCCCTAGGTTTGATGTCTTTGTGGAAGAGTTGAAGACTTCGCAGTGGGGTGGAGAACTGAGGGAGTTAATTGGACAGTGAATCTACATGGAAGAGACCCGTCGTGTGAGTGATCAGCTGCGGACCTTCTTGTTCACTTGTAAAATATCCTGCGGTCAGTTACGTTCAATAATAGTGTTTCTATTATTTCACAACTATCGATCACACTCTGGTATTGCGACGCTTGATGCAATTTCACATCTAGGCTTCAATGAGCACACTCCTTCGCAATGCACCGATGTCATCTCGAGTAAGGCTCGTATGCGCTAGAACATATTGCTCTGCGTCTCCATACTTGTCCTGCATCGATTTGATTACCGCCAGCATCGTCTCCGCTCTGTAAGCCAATGAGAAATGTACCGGTCATTCAGGAAGGAGGTCTACCTTGATTTGCCCATATTCTGGGCGCCTACAGGATTGTTTCGAAATGCCTCGACTTTGGCTAGACGTGTAGTCAGCATCTCGTAGACGGGTTTCAGCCCAATCTCAGACAATGCATAATCCTCGGCAACCTCAGTCTCGGAAACGCCAAGGAGCTGGTCAAAAGTATGTGAGTCTATAAAACATAACCATCGAATTCAGGGGCTCACGAGGAGTATCACGGCCACTAGGATACCTGTACGATCCTTTCCCACTACAGACCCAACAAAAGTCAGTTCGTCGACCCCTACCACTTGGTTTGTGTTGACTTGCCTGTGCAGTGGACGACGAAAGGATGTCCTGGATCTTGAATTAAATGGCGGATCGCGCTTTCAAGAGCTGGCCCGAGGTTTGTTAATGTCTCCTGGTATGTGTCAAGGAAAGCCTAAATTGATTGGACAACCAGTTGGAGGAATGTCTAGTTTAAGAGGGGGGTCGTTCCTCACGTTTAATTCATCCGTTTCAAACTTCTGGAGGCTGGAATCCGTTAGCAGTTGAAGCAAAACACAAGGTACTATTGAGCAGCTTACAAAGCATCCAGATAGTCATTACTGAAGTCGACTTTCTGCTCGGTGGGTACATGCACAACCTTGACATCCCCCAGATGTGGAGTGTGTGTTTTCCACTTGTCGGTCTCATTTTTGGAACGGAGGTCGAAGATCGTGTTAACGCCGAGGGTGGACAAGGCTTGGATGCCGGTAGGGCTGATCCCGCTCAACTCTCCCGAGCGGAAGAGAAGGTTTGGTTTGACATGGAGAGTTTTATTTGAAGATAGAAAGTAGCCACCGACAGAACGGAAGTTGAAGACACCGTCTACTTGGATGAAAGGAGGGTCAAGGGGGACGATCAGTGATGCCATTTTTCTGGGGATTCAAGAGGTTGGAATTACCATGATTTTAAATTGTTCCAAAGCCGCCCAGTATGACTCAAATGATTTCTGTCAATCCGCAGTCGAATACCGAGGCTATAACAACGGGCATTGATTGATATCACCTTCACATAAAATATGACCATGGGAAAAACAAACAAACAACCCAAAAACCAATTGCTATTATTACCATGGTTCAACGCGGGCTCGAACCGCGGACCTTCTGTGTGTGAGACAGAAATCATACCACTAGACCACTGAACCATTATAAGAAGATTTTGGTAGGTTCCAGCACAGCTATAGGTCCCGCATTTGTGGGTCCGTAGCTGTTATGAAACTCCTCACCCGATACACATGACAATTATAAATAGCCAAACACATGTATCTCAAACTCGACTCCTGACTCTGACTCGTCTCATGTAGCTGCGCTACTTCTCGTACATGTTTCGACTCCTTTCTCTTACTCGTCTCACCACTACTCCTCTACCGCACAGACAATTAGCCAATAGGTATATAAACAACAGGCATAGTACTACGAATCTCTAGTTTACTATTGTCGTTCCCCACTTCTCTTATACAGCTTTATCTCGCACGAAACTTCAGCTGTCCATGGGAACGGCTTCTGCGAATGCGACCCTTACCTCAAGTCTCCATATATTTTCCCTCTCTTGTTCTTGCTGTAATCCCCTGTTATCAGAGGCGGGGTGTTATGCTGAATTCCGGGGCCCACATGGTCACCAAGCGTCCAATGCAGTGATCTACACTCCGTCCCCCCTCACACCATCACCGACCATGAAGGAGCCTGCGATAGTCTTTCTGATGTATCATTGGCGCCAGATATAACAGTGCCTCTCATACAACATCTTGCCTCCAGAATAGACATCATCATCTTGCACAATCTCAAGAACGGCTCTGGTCCATTGTGTTTTTGCACGTGGCAGAGTTAACTCAGAATCTTGTATGGACAATACCCACTGATACACCTAACAGGACGACAAATTTCCGAGAGGTTCCTGCTGTCAGTGAGGCCCTCATGGTGTCAACACCACCGATCCAATGACTGTGTATTCGTTGATTGTTGAGACAAGGTTGTCAGGTGATAATAATAAAAATCTAAAATTGGTATGTCTGTCATGGTCCCATTAATCCTCCGTGAGCTCTCACGTTCAACTTCCCGGAACTTAGCGACCTCTACAGCCTTGCCAGCGTCTAGGCTGGCGTGAGAGTCGAGGCTGCCTGAAGGTCAAAGCAGTGCTGCGCTCGGTTCTCCCTCTCACATCCACACCGTCTGCCGAGACACTATTCTCCAGCACCTAATTTGATCGCTATGCCGATTCTCGCTAGCTCCCAGTACATCACTCTCAATAACGGACATTTTACAGATATCAATAACAGTCATTTTACAGATCAGTCTGCCGAAGTGATCAACAATATTTCATTAGCAAATGGATCGGCTGGTAAGATGATATGGCACGACGTCACTTGGATAGACCTAATGTTTGCGCTGGAAACTAGGGATCGATATACTTCTGGAAGCATCGAATCGCGATGCTGCTCACGACTCCAAAGCCCGTGATTACGCCCCTCGCTGCCACCCTGGAACGCGCGAACAACACATCGAGGACATTGTCTACTGGGCCGTTCCTGCCGCCGGCACTGACAATGCCTTGCCCCTTTTCTGGATGAAGGGTCCAGCTGGCGTTGGCAAATCTGCCATAGCCCAGACGTGTGCGGAAAGGCTTAAGAAGCTGGGCAAACTTGGCGCCACGTTCTTTTTTTCGGCCAAAGGACCAGACAAGGCTGCAGAATTTATTCCAACCATCGCATACCAACTCTCCACTGAATTCCACGAGTACCGGGGTCTTGTTGATAAAAGGATCCTCCGTGACAAAGCCATCCTCGACAAAACGATGGCAACACAATTCCAAGCGTTTATTGTTGAGCCGTTGCAGGAACTCGAAAAGGCGGGGAAGGGCATTGGACAGAGAATTGTTATAATTGTTGATGGGCTCGACGAGTGCGAGAGCACTGATGATCAGTGCAGGATCATCGAGATCATCGCTGCCGCTGCTCGCGATGGCATCACCCCTTTCTGTTGGGCCTTCTTCAGCCGCCCCGAGCCCCACATTGAAGCCAGTTTTTCTCCCGCGGATGTTGCTCAAATCACCTGCATGACCCTGTTGCCCATCTCGCGCGACGCTGATTCGGACATTGAGCTCTACCTCCGTAGTGGCTTCGAGAACATCCTTCGACGCCGTAATATCCCTTTGAAATCCCAATGGCCCTCCGACAGCGATATGCAAACACTCGTGGAAAAATCAAATGGATTGTTCATCTACGCAGCGACGGCGCTTCGGGTTGTGGCTCGGCCTGGCCCTATCGAAGAAGCGCTGTGCGCAGTCTGCGCTACCTCCCCAGATCGTACCAGCAACTCACCTTTTGCGGAACTCGATGCGTTTTATATGCTGATTATGCAGCGTATTCCCTCCGAAGAACTTCCTGCCATCCTTCTCTTATGTATGATGTTGTGTCGCAATAAAATATACGCCGCCACGGGTGGCTATCGGATTGGTGCAATGCTACAGAGAAACATGCTGTCGCTATCCGAAATTCAATTCCGGGCAGTTTGCAACCAGCTGAGTGCTGTACTCCACTTTGATGACCGTAGTGACACCTTCGACCTCACCCAGTTTGGCGACACTGGTCGTCCGTTCCAACGTGCAACCTCAGCTCTCACTGAGAAGTTGAGAGCCCATGTAATTGGTGAACTCGGAGGTTCAATCTACTTCTATCACAAGTCATTCTACGATTTCCTCATCGATTCAACGCGCTCCGGCATCTTTTCCGTCAGGTCTCTAGCCATGGATAACGTTTATTTCAAAAATAACCTTGGGCTCCTGTTCAAATATGAAGAAAGTTATTGTTTTCAAGAATCAGGTGAGGTTTAGGCTTCATTCCGATTCCTTGTCTATATTCTCATCCATGAACTAAGGGCTTATTTTGGCACCTGGTGTACCTGATTCAGCAGCCTCCCTTTCCTGGCCCTATATAAACGAACTCGTCAATTCCATGCTCAAAGCGTGTGTTTATGATTGGGCTCTTGGCGGCTGTTTTAGTTATATTCACCTTCCCTGGATAGAGCCTCAGTTGATGTGGGATTTCGGTCATGTTGATTTTCGCAAAGTACTAGGGAGCGGGACGATGCTGTTTGCAGAACATAGTGCTCCTCTTATTTCTTGGTCCTGGGGTCACCGTGGGTATTCCAAATTGATTCGCGGGACTCACCTCTTCCGGAGTCTTCCAAATCGATTTCAAGAGTCTGATGCTGTCAAATTCAACGCGGTAAGAAGAGTTCCCCTGGCTACGCATGAATATTTCTGATCATAGCCTTTGTAGATAATCAAGAAAATGCAGAAATACGGGATTATACAACCCTATTACTCCAATTTCACTGCCCGGTTCAAGTCTTTTGTCCCCAAGAAGTTTCAAGATAAACATACCTCTGGACTATACCGCATAGGACATGGTCCTAAATCATGTGTCTGGTACTGGGAAATCAATTTCAGGGTGGGGTATTATCGAGAATTCATGGCACCCAATCTAGCTGAAGGGCAAAGGATTTGTGAAGAGGAGGGATTTAACCTATGGAACAAGGAGACGCATAGTGAGGAAGAGGGCTAGTTGGGATTTGGTGATGTGTAAATAATTTATTGTCCATAGTAACCTACGTCGAGACGTCAGTATTTGTAAAATGCCAAACCTGTTATATTTCTAGGTTTTATAAACTCCCATCTTCAATTTGCAGCTTAGGCACGGTGCTCTGTTCGCCGGCTTAATATCCTGTATGTCAGGCTTCTAAGCTTCAGGTGTGATGGTATGGAAATAACGATCAGCAATCACTGTGGGGTTCGTTCGGGACGGTGGCTCCTGAGGTTATTGTTACGCGTTATAATATGAACCTCAGCAACGGCATCCCTGACGCATTCGTATGCATTCGCCTTTTGTGTTCCGTGTCTTTTCGTTTTCTGTTTCTCGCCAGTCCGCCAGTCACCGCTCTTCTACCAAGGGACAGGCCGTTGCACAGAACACTATTGCATCATGTTCTGCTCTATGTACCCTCCCACCGGTCTAGTTGCGCACTCCGAGACGTGTTCTTGGAACCTAGCGAGGGCGGAGCAGTAGAATTGGATGGGCACCAGTGGGTTACCGGTCGGTATCAGCTTTGATGATGTCAGTTGGACTCACAACTGAAAATAGCACAAGGGCAGGTTCAAATGCCATGCAGCTGAATATTCTTGTCCGGCAACCGGTGGCGCCCCAAAGGTAAATAAATAATAAATGTGTGAACTCTAGCCGTGGGAGTATGGGCATGAAGGGATTGGGCTAAGTAGTGCCCAAATCCCTAGGCGGTGAAGTCGAGGAGGAACGCGGCGGGTCACCCCCAAAGCGCATCCTCAATCGATCACCTAGGCTGGGGTTCAATACAAAGGGGTGGAGGGTTGGGTTTTGATAAAGCGAGGACTGAGGCGAAGGCTTGGACCTGAAGCATATAAGGTTGAGGCAGGGGACCTCGGCGAGGAGGGTGACATCGCGGTTTGGTCACGTGGCTATTCGCGGAATTTATACCTTGCTCGTGCCAGGTGTATCACATCTCGTCTCTTGCGATACCCCCTCCCATCTCTCAGACTTCAGCTCTGCGGACCTGGATGACGCAGCTAAATTGGCTTGAGCTCAAGTTCAGGATCCGTTGGCTCGCGTTATACGTCTGGAATGGCCTGGTAAACCTGTGTTCTAGGCTGGCCGATGAAATCTCCCGTTCTAGGCAGTACGGAGTGCATATACCCTTTCCTGTTACATCGTCTCGCCGCTATCTCAGTACCAGTTTAACGTTCCCTTTTCCCGCTGTGACCAAGGACTCTCTTCATATGACTAGATTTGAAGGTGTGTTTCGATAATGTATCGTGCCGCTGGCCGAGAAACACTGATACATCAATGTACTATAGCATCACAGTGCAGGTTGCGGAACAGTACTCGTTTGCAGAGAACCGCGCCTGGACGTTGTGAGACGCCGTTACTTCCTTTTCACACTGTTCCAGGTTCAGTAGATGAAGAGGAGGACGTGGAAATAATCTCCCCCGCCGGCGTTGAAACTTGGGGTGTGCGCGGCGATGATATTTCCCAGGCTTCCTCTCCTGCGTTTTCTCTCAACACACCTCTATCCACGTCGAGTCCACTTCATGCAGTTGGTCAGTGGAGCGATTGGT